TGCTTTACTTTGGAAATAAACAAAGACGATGCAAAAAGCACGTGCATTTTGTGAATGAAATTGTATGCTAAGTTTTTTAGACGCGTTTCGAAAACGAATCTGTTACGATTTTCTATTGCCTGCCTTCATCGTTTTCTTCGTACGAATAAAACATTTCTGAATTTAGTAATTTGCTTGAAGGACTTAAGCATTTTCAAAAACTTCTGCCGATTTGAAAAATCTTATAATATTGTTCATTACCGCTTTTTGGCTTCAAATTGAAAGTTTGAAAGCTTCGAACTTTTCCTTATAATTGAAACTATATTAAAATGGAACTTCAGGTTTGAAGTTCATGTTTTTTCAATAATTTGAGACCGATTGACATTTTTTTAATGACACATTGCCATGAATATTCGTTTGAAAGGAATGGACAATGCAGGCTGACTTGAAATTGTACTGATATATATATTACCTTTAGTTGGCGACTCGGTGTAGCTTGACTCCGTCGCATTTTCAGCCATGTTTTCTTACCTTTCACCACTACCAAGCAATAGTAAACATCTCAGTTACAAAAAAATAAACATCTATACAATAAAGTACTCGAGGTTGTACTCTTAGTGGATTTTGTCGTTAACCCAACACCCCCAAAACAAAATCCAAACTGATTTTCACAACATTTGATCGAATTTTTCAACCAAAAATTCTTACCTTAGAAATGCGTGCTTTCTCTTTTCCAACAAATGAAGTTTTGATTAAAAACATAGAGGGCTTTTATGCATGTATCCAAGGCAACAGGTCGATGGGGTTTAGTAGTCTATTATTTGAAATCCCAAAGGACGTTATAGTCGTTAGCGATTGATCGGACTGTATGCATGCCGCTCAACGAACAATAAAAATGTGTTTATTGTCTCTGTGAACGATTAAATAAAGTGTTTAGAAATCACTTAACAAATTTGTAGAGGAAATGTGTCCGCGTCTCCGATATTACAGTGGCATTTTTGGCTCTCCCATAAAGTTAAAATAAGCGCTTGGACATTTTTATCGACTTGAAATAGAACACTTTTACCATTAGCTATAAGAGGGGTTTTAATACTTTTAAAAGCATACATTTGATCATTCAATTACAACGAATATCAACAAAGTTCTCAAAAGTAAACACAGGCAACACAATACGCCACTATCCTTAAGATTAAAGGTTAAAGCTTTGACTGCCTTCAGTTTGAAAAGGCACGTTCTATAGCATAAACTATTTCAATTTGATTTGTTAATTTGTTAATTTTTTTTGATATTTTGATTAAAGTTTGGATATAGAGCTTTTAAGCTCTAAAATGGTCCGTGTAGAGGCGTGGACGTTTCGTTCATTCAAAATTCAAATTATTGCATGGGCTTCCTGTGGACTTAACTAAGATATGTCAACAAAAAGAGATGATTGGAAATATTTTCAATCGAAGAACATGAAAGACTATCGATCTGTGTTTGCAGCCAAGGATGCGACTCTCAAAGTGAGGACTGTTCGTCAAACATGATTGCTTCTTTCACAATATTAATCGCAGTATTCAAATGATCAATGCATTAATTTAATAATAGATGAGGTGACGGGTTTGGCAGCCATCTTGGACCGGTAGGCATAGTGTCGCAAAATAACAAGGATAGACCGGGAAATCGATGTCAAACAATTCCCGCTGAATTCAAATTCGGAAAGAGTTATCAATTGCAAACGTTAGATACTGTAAAAAGACCAAATTTGAAGGACGTACTCGATAGTTCTCCATACATTTCTTTGTAATTTCAATACATTTCGTTATAATTTCCGGCGGATCATCAGCGCGTGACGCGAGTGAAAAATACAAAGAAATGAATTGAGAACTAAAAATAAATTTACTCGCTCCCTAGATGAAGTACATCCTTCAAGTTTATTCAGGTAACTCCTTTTTGTAGTATCTAACGTTTGCAATTGATAATTCTTTACCGAATTTGAATTCAGCGAGAATCATTTGACATCGATTTCCCGGTCTATCCTTGTTATTTTGCGACACTTTGTCTACCGGTCCGAGATGGCTGCCAAAACCGTCACCTCATCTATTGTACTCGTGTTGTGTGCGATGCCATGATAAGCGCGACAAAGAACCGAGCAGAATATGAACAAATAAGTTGTGTCGTCTGTCTCATAAGAACGGGAATCTAAATACCTTTTCGAAAAATGCCCGATATCGCTTAGTATGCATAAAAAAACAGTATAATTCTCATCCTGGATATATTTATCAATTCCTGTTAAAAGTTGATACAATAGGACTTACTTACATATATATATATATTTTCAAATATTAAATGCTACTGAATGCAATTTTTGGCAAATATTTTTTTTCCTTGATAAAAACCCGTCTGAATGAAATTTCTTTACAACTGTAACAATAATATGCATTACCACAGGTGGCCCATGTATGCGATCGCTGATCGTCTATTGTTGAAATTTCAAATGGCTGTCAATTCGATTTTTAAAAAGTTCTTTTTTATCTTCGACTCGTTCTTTTTTGTCGAGTTGACTTAATGAACTCTTCACAGCATATCGCAATGCATCGACTTGTGAAAATTACAAAAGACCAGCATGTTTACAAGCGAAATACGAAAAAGTCTTTATGAAAATTCGATAAATAATCCAATCAAATTTCAAAGTTTGAATTCAAATTTGATTTCAATAATGTAATGTTGAATCGACCAAGAATTGAATAATGAATTGAATAATGGTGATTTGAGGGGGCGCGCTTCATGTCTTTTGACTATAATGTTGTATATCATCAGCAAATTTTATTATATGCAAATTTTGCAGAATTCGGTTTTTTAATGACGCTTTTTACTGCATCTTTTATCTCAAGGTTTGATTACCATGGTTATGAAAAACAAAGAAACAAAGCAAAACAAACTATGAACAAACAAACAAAAACAACAATAAATTAACAAAAAAATAGGTCGTATAACTGAGGTTTGTACACCTCACGATGATTCCATCTGTTCTAGGTGCTTTTTTCACCTGCCATCGCTTTTTCGTGAAGATTATTTCCTCCATCAACTTTTCCGAGCCGTTTCAACACTCTGCCTAACCTTCTCGACGATCTAGCCACTTTAGGATGGTTACTGCCGTAAGTGCTTTCGTAAATTGCCAGTGCTTTATCGTAACAATCTTTCGCTTCATCAAGTTTTTCGAGTTTTTGCAACACTGATCCTAAATTATTTAACGTTCTAGCCACCTCAGGATGATTGCTGCCGTAAGTGGTTTCTTTGATTGCCAGTGCTTTTTCGTAACAATCTTTCGTTTCATCAAGTTTTTCGAGTTTTTTCAACACTGATCCTAAATTATTTAACGTTGTAGCCACCTCAGGATGATT